TTTTAAAGTGTTTTTATTTTTATATTTTTATTATTATTATTTTTTCCATTTTCATTTTGATTTAAATAAGTGTTTTAGTAATGTTGTGTGTTTTTGTCATTTTATAAGTTTTTGTTTCTTTTTAATAGGCCTATATAGTTTTTATTAATTTTTATTTCAGTTGAATGGAGTGGACATGAGAAATGTTGCCTTGGCAATCAGCTGAAATAAATTAATTTTTTTTCATATTTTGTTTTATTTTATTTTATTTAACCTTTCTTTTATTTCAACTAATAATTTTTTTTATGGTTTTAGTTTTAGTTAACAATAATATCCCAGTTTCTCTAACCCTATATTGGCTTGATTGGACTGATTCAAATAAACATCGTCACACTGGAGCTACAGCCCAATTTTTTTACATGCTTCAATTGAAATCAGGCATCAAATTGTGATATAATACAGCAGAAGTAACTGGGTAACGGTTTAACACAATTTTTGTATTAATTACCATTCAAAAGTTTGGGTTCAGTAAGATTTTTAGTGTCTCTTCTGCTCACCGAGGCTGCATTGAATTGATCAAAAATACAGATAAAATTGTGAAATATTATTACAATTTAAAATAAATGTTTTCTATGTGAATATATAGTAAAATGTAATTTATTGCTGTGATGTGCAGCTGAATTTTTAGCATCATTACTCCAGTCTTCAGTGTCACATGATTCTTCAGAAATCATTCTAATATGCTGATTTACAGCTCAAGAAACTTTTATGATTATTATTAACGCTGGTAACAGTTGTGCTGCCCAATATTTTGTGGAAACTGTGATTGAGTATTATTCAATGAATAGAAAGTTCAAAAGAACAGCATTTATTTGAAATAGAATTCTTTTGAAACATTTAAATGTCCTTACTGTCACTTTTGATCAATTTACTGCTCCCTTGCTGAATATAAATATTAATTTCTTTACAAAAAAGCAGTTGACCCCAAACTTTTGAACAGTATAGTTCTATAGTATAGTCTGTACAGATAGATAAAAAATCAGACTGATGTTAGCCAACGCTGATATATGTAACCTTGCTGATGACGCACAGCATGTCTGTGTGTAGATGATTAGACTAGATGATTAGAAGAGCCTTAAATTAGTTACTGCAGCTCTTTGAGTCTGAAGAAGGTGTGTGTGTTTGTGTGTGGGTGTGTGTGTTTTTATGTGTAGGATTTGTTAAAAATCCGTCTGCCTTTCCACACAGTCAGGTTGTTCACACATTAACATCTGACCTGAATTCCCCTCTCTTTCTGTGTGTGTGTGTGTGTGTGTGTGTGTGTGTGTGTGTGTGTGTGTAATCTCATTAGTCTGTACTGTAGAGCAGATCCTCTCATCCCTAATTCACTCCTACGTTCTTCTCGTCTAATTATCACTCCCTGTTTCTGTCTAGACACCTCCAGCTTCTTTCTAGGTTGTAGTTTGATCTGGTTTCCCAGTGCTTCTTCACTGGCTTTGCTTCACGGCCAACATTTTACTCTGAACATCACTTAGCGATGTCGTTTACCCGTTTGAACGGACCTGCGACCTGTTTGTTGCGAACCGAAGGTCTAGACGAGTATTTCCAGGTCTGGTCTGATTTCGTCCTGCATGTTTGTTTCATAAGTATCTACTTAAGTTCGGTTAATAACGGTGGCGACGGTCTCCCACCCCGTTAATATTCCCGACTGCTGCGTCCGCAGATCTTTTCTGACGTGTAGGGGGTCGTCATGGGAACCGGGGCAGGAATTTTCTCCGTCTGTTGGTAGGGGAAGGTGTGAGGAACGCGACCCAGAGCGGGGGCTTTCATCTGGGCTGATTTCATCAACGCAACGATAGCAAACTCAACATTCAGACCATTGAAATAAATCCGAATGAGATTATAATGTGAATTATCTTTTGTTCTTTCCATTTTTGTATTTTAATTTATGTATTTTGTTTGGTGCAACTCATCCCTAGTTTTAAGGCCAGAAGTATTGTAAGCCCTCTGTACTTGATACAGGTTTTTCAGGAAACCTGTTTGGAAACAGTCATTATTTTTGCAGTTCTGTTTGCTGCCACTGTAGGCGCCAGAGTTACACATTTCAGCTTTAATGCCTTAGCATTGTTGTATTATTTTTCTCTGTTTTATTTCTTTTCTCTCCCTCTTTTATTTTTTCTTTAGTTTTTTTGTAGATCTTTTCTTTTAATTTTTCTTTCTCGTTTTTTTCCCTTTTTTTCTTTTTCTTTTTTCTTTTTAATTCTTTCTTTCTTTCCGTCTTTTTCTTTCTTGACATTTATGTATTTTAATTTACTTTTCTATTTTATTTTCATCTATTTTATTTGTTTATTTTTCTTTTCTTTTCTTTTTCTTTACCTTTAATCTGTTTTCTTTTGTTTCATTTTTTTTTCATTTCTTTTGCTTTTATTTTTCCTTTTCTTTCTCTTTTCCTTTTTCTATTTTAATATTTATTTTCTTTTCTTCTATTTTGTGTAATTTTAATCATATATATTTCATTCTTTTTCCTTTCTTTCATTTTTTTCTTTTCCTTTTATAATATTTTCTTTTTTCTTTTTATTATTTTCTTTTTCATTTTTTCTTTTCTTCTCTGCTTTACTCTCTTTCTTTCTTTCTATCTTTCTTTCTTTCTTTTTTAGATCTCAAAATGGCCTGAGATCTCTTGAAATGTCTGTCATTCTTGACATTTATATTTACTTTTGTTTGAACTTCAACTCATCCCTAATTTTAAGGCTAGAAGTATTGCAAGTGCTCTGTACTTGATGCAGGTTTTTCAGGGAACCTGTTTGAAAACAGTCATTATTTTTGCAGTTCTTCTTGCTGCCACTAGAGGCACCAAAATAACACACTTCTGCTTTAATGCAGCAACACTGGGGTCAAGGTTTCCATGGAGAGCTGATATAAGAGTATGTTTTCATTGTCTTGCATCATGCGTTGGGGTCAGATTTTGCCTTTAATTGTGACCCGAGATCAAGAATGGCGTTTTTTTCTGTCTCCAGTGTTCAGGTATTAACAGATGGTAGCGTATGGGGACACTGAAGGCAGTTTACTTGTGTGTGTGGGTGTGTGTGTGTTTCCAGATAAATTAATCTGCGTGAGTCTCAGACAGAGCACTAATCGCAGTAATCATGGAGCAGGTTTACAAGGCCACCATCTTGCCAAATCCTGGTGTCTTTCCAGTAAAGCCGTCGTTCTGCTGGCGTTTGCCCGTCGCTGGTGCTGCTGTGAGACTCATTCAGTCAGAAGTGTTTTACTCATGTACTGTATGTCTCGGACTCTGGAGCTGAAGTCTTTAACCTGTGGCGTCTTTTCACAATGTAAAATCTGATCTGGATGTTTGTCAGATCTCTTTTGCACCAGCTTGAACCGGGTGCTGGTTCAGAGTTGGTTCGACTGGCGAGCCTTCTAAGAACCCCTTTGCCTTTCCACGGGCTTGTTTGTCAGTCATTGAAGCTAAATCCATGAAGTGCTGTGTTTTTGTACATTATCTTTTTCAAGCTTTCCTGATCTGTCATTTCCTAAAATCACTTCAGTTAGCATCCACTCAAAGAGCGTTTGATGTGTGTGTGTGTGTTTGTGTGTGTTGCTATGGAAACCAGTTTGCACATTCTGTTCCATTGACTTGCTTTTGTCCAGAGAGATTTGTAGCTCAGAAACTGACATCAGTGTTGAGAATAAGGAACGGGTGAATAACATGAAGAGGAGGCCGATGGCTGCAGGCAGAGAGTCTGTAGAGGAGGACAGTGGGAGAAAGGGAAATGAGAAGGTCAAAGGTCAGAGACCGAAGGCTCTTCAGAGACGTGACATGCTGCAGTACATGGAAGTCTTTGTCTCAAAAGAATCAAAAAACATGCTTTTCAATCATTTAGTTGTCAAATGCATTGTGTCACTGAAGAGAAGAATCTTTTGCTAACACTTAATGTATATAAAATAAGTTGTAAAGATATTTTCTTTATAAATAACAGCTGCCAGAACTATAATACATAATACCAGTTTATGTTAAAATGTTTAAACAGTATAATGACGTATTATGTTGTGCGGCTAAGAATTACACACTTTGAAGCAGTGACTATGAATCACTTGGTATCTCTTTTCTTTCTCTTCTTTTCTTTTCTATTTTTTCTGGATCTCTTTTTCTTTTTCCCTTTTTTTTTCTTGTTATTTTTTATTTTAATTTGTTTTTACTTTATTATTAATTTATTTATTTGTTAATTTTTAATTTGTATTTATTTATTTGTATATACGTTCTTTCTCTTTGCTTTTCTTATGTTTTCTTTTTATTCTTTCCTTTTTTCTTTTTTTCCTTTAAAATTTTTTCATTTAGTTTTATATTTTATATATAATTTTTATAGTATATAATATACTTTTATTTTTATAAGATATAATGCTTTACAATCACAATTAGCCCTGTTTTAACCCCAGGTTAAGGCGAATATCTGTGTGTCTGTGATTTTTCTGGCTTGCATTGAACAAACTGCTGATGTAAAGACTGGTGGTCACACAGTGACTCCAGACTGTCTGTAAAGGCTGATAACATCACACACACACACACACACAGTGTGCTGTACTCGGCCTTAATAAACAGCATGTTTGGCCATCACAGGTGTATTTGTGGTTTATGTTCCGTGTGTGTGTGTGTGTGTGTGTGTGTGTGTGTGTGTGTGACCTAGAAAAAGTATTACGGCCCAGACTGCAGCAGAGCACAGGGAAGCGATAACCCATTTAACACACACACACACAGTGTGCTGTACTCGGCCTTAATAAACAGCATGTTTGGCCATCACAGGTGTATTTGTGGTTTATGTTCCGCAACATTTATTAATGTTTTTGAAAGAAGTCTCTTCTGCTCACCAAGGCTGCATTTATTTGATCAAAAATACAGTAATATTGTGAAATATTATTACAGTTTAAAATAGCTTCTATGTGAATATATAGTAAAATGTAATTTATTGCTGTGATCAAAGCTGAATTTTCAGCATCATGACTCTGTGTTTCTCCCTCAGGCTCAGGATCTGAACGTCATCGAGGAGGTGATCAGAATGATGCTGGAGATTATAAACTCCTGTTTGAGTAACTCGCTCCATCACAACCCAAACCTGCTGTACGCGCTGCTCTACAAGCGGGAGCTCTTCGAGCAGTTCAGATCGCATCCGTCCTTCCAGGATATCATGCAGAACCTCGACACGGTGAGACGTGACTCTGTGTTCCTGCTCTCTTCCAAGTACTCTAGTGTCTACATATACAGCTGCCTTCTAAGGCCGCATCCTAACTGAAACGGAACCTTACAAGTTACTGATTTGTACATTTTTCTTGTATCTGTGTAATTCAAAACAAAGCCCTCAGTGCAAACGTTCGTATGCTGTAGATGCAGAGATTTGCACTGGACCTGCTGCAGTTATATTGTGCTGTAGTAGCCCAGGGGGTTTCTGGGTAATCTACAGAAGTCAGGAAGTAAATTCCCTGTTTAAACGCACACACTGGTGCATTAATGCTGCATGACTCACTGCAGCCTTAAACACACACCGCAGAATAAAATACACCCACAGATCACTTTAAATATTCATCCAAAACCCGAGAGAGGCTGAATGAATAGAATACTAGTATACTGTACACTATATACTATATACTGCATACTGAAGAAGATAGAATGTGAAATTTCCAAAATTCAGAAATTGAAAGTGAGCATTACAAACAGTATAATACACTGACATTGTCGGCATCCAAATGTGTCAGAAATATATACAGTATTTGTTATACAGTATACAGTATAATACATATACGAAGATCACAGTTGATTCCTGTAGAATTTGACATTGGCATGTTGCTAAGATATTTTGATATTTAAAAATATTATATATAATATATTATTAATGAGCACAAAAGCGCAATCAAAAGCGCAATTAATATTAAATAATATAATAAAAGTAATATCAGTATATAATATAAAAAAATAAAGAAATTATATCTATATGTATAATATTGATATAATGATATGTTTCCTATATTAAAACGTTGCATTTTGTATGTAAAATTTATATTTTCATTGATTAAAATGATATATGAAAATAAATGTATATTTATATAAAGTGATGTTTTATTTAATAAAAAAATTTAAATCCATATTTTAATTAGCGCAAAACACAATTAATATGATTAATATAATAATAAAACTAATATAAATATACATTTTATGAATGAAATATAGTTTTCAATTGATCAAAAATGGTATATAAAAACTAATTTATATATAAATTGATATTCTAATGTTAATATTTATATACATTACATTTTATATATAAACATTTATATTTTTAAGCAATTAAAAATTAAACTTGCATTATAAATAGATAATCAATATGCTGTCATTTTATCCAAATGTCACTCAAATGACACTCAGATGAGTCCAGATGTTAAAACGTCATTTGATGTTTTTTAAATTTTTTATTCATTCATCACTCTTGAGCTTGAAGGTCAAGTCACACACAGTGCATTGTGGGATGTCGTATCCCACACACTGTGCAAACATCATTATTTCAGTGTTTACTGCATTCCTGTCATTGCACTGATGTTGTGGCATTGACTGTGTGTATATGTGTATGTGTGTGTGTGTGTGTGGCAGGTGATTGGATTCTTTAGCCAGCGACTGGAGCAGGCAGGAAGTGACCTGTCAGTGGAGAGAGTTCAAGAGGTCATCAAGAAAGGTGCGGCGGCCCTCCCTAAAGAGCGTCTGAAGGTAAGCACACAGATATTAGTGATAAAGCATGTTTAATACATTCACAACTTCACAGAAACACTCTAAGCCAACAAACGCTGTCTATCTGGCGTCATCGACCCGCTTTCCACCACTCCACCCGTCTGACCTCTCCACTCTGATATTTGTTCCATTTTCAAAACAAAATATCTGGCTGCATCTAAATATGGAACCGTGACATTTCACTTCCTCCTAGAGACAGGAAAACAAATTCTTTTAAGACACGCTGGATTAATAATTCACCATCTGACTGTATCACACAACTGCCATCTGTGCACACGTACATCAGGTGTTACCATGGTAAAAATGATTAATAATGATTTTATAAATAAATAATCAGCAAGATAAATATTTCTGAACAACCTTGTGTTTTACAATATTCCATTGAAATAAAAACACCACACAGTAGTAGTAGATTAATTAATTTAGCGAGTGAAAAAAGTTAATTTGCATTTCTTAGTCCTTTAAAAAACCTTTTTAGAGAATGTGTGTGTGTGTGTGTGTGTGTGTGTGTGTGTGTGTGTGTGT